CCCCCAATAAAATGATCTTTTAATTAAAAAAACCCCACAAAAACAACAGATTGGAAGGAAGGTAATCCTTCAGTATGAAAGGAACAATAGCTAGAAGAGCCAGGGGGTGACCTGCAGGGGCAGTGAATTGTTGACTGCCACCAAATGACTTTTCCCTGCATGGGTCTAGTAAGAAGCTTGGGAAGATAGTGATAGGATTCACATATGAGTAATTGTGAATAGGATTTCCTGGAATGCCATTCAGCTGCATATAAAATAAGCCCAGCCCTCCTAGAAGGAGGAGGAAAGATCTCCAAGAGCCTGGAGTGTAGCAAGTCCTTTGGACCCAAGATTCCTTTGCAGTGCACCTCTTGGATCCAGAAGACAGCTATAAATAACATCAGTGGAGCAGCAGCAGAACCAGGAGCCAGCATGGAATGAAGTGGAGTTACCAACTCATGAAGCAAGTCAAGCTGACTGCTTATAGAGTGCGGTGCCTCTGGGCACGTGATTGGGGAAGCTGGGGTTGCTGACCTCATGGAGGAGGAGCTGAGTGCCTGCAGACTGAGGCTTCCTGGAGTGGGGTGTCTCTGGGCACTTGATTCAGGGAACTGGGTTTGCTGAACTGAAGCCTTTGGCTTGAAACTTCCAGAGTTTATTAGAAAACCTGAAAGAACTTTGGAATTATCCTGAACATTTCTCACTTAATACCTGTCAACTTCCTTAATTAACCCTTTAATCTTGAATATTGTCTATGAGTTATGTGTGGCCGTTGCAAATGGATATTAGCACTAAGAGATGAGAATGCTAAAGACAACACAACTATACACCTTGAAAATACAAAATCTAATGACCTTCATTTTAACAGTATATTTTAATGTAATACATTGGAAAGGTACAATATTAAAAATCATTTAAATAAATATTTTATTTTAACTTTAGGATGGTGGCTATTGGTTATTATTTTTTCTAGCATAGCTAGCCCTTTTGTTCTTTGCAAAGATGGATATTTAAAACTAGCTCACTTTCTTTAATATCTTAATTGATTTGGCAATGTGAGAGAAGAAGAATTTTGGGTTTTTTAACCATAAGAATTAGTGAGTTATGGACTTGTTCTACTCTGTCCTATGAGATCACTGTGAGTATAATTGACTGGATAGCACTGGATATGTAAGCAGTCATTCTTGTTTCCTAAAACACCAATAAAATAACAGAAGGCTGATCAATTAAAAAAAAAAAAGAATCAGTGAGCTTTAAATATATTTATTCTTGGGTTTAAAATTAAAGTCAGTGTACACAATTTTTTTTGTAAGTTAAAATGAAAACAAGTGACTGTACATTCTGACTTTTAAAACAAGAAAATAAAAAGTTTACAATTTGATAGTTACCGAATTATACTTTTTCATTTCCTAGAACAGTAAATGTCCTGAGGGAACAAAACCCATGCTGATATTTGCTGGAAATGATTTTGATGTGACTGAAGATTACCGAAGACTGAAAAGTCTTTTCATCGGTAAGTAGCGCAGCTAGGCCATCTCTGAGGCCTTCCTTGCTGGCACATGGCCATGTCATTCTAGGTGGGCAGCACTCGTTACTTAAAGAATACGAAGTTCAGTTTATTTTCATGTAACAAAACATTTGCCATTTCAGGGGAACAATGTTGGTAATCATCAAGTTACTCAACCATCACCTTTAGCCTTTCCCAAATGATTCTATCATCTTTAAAGATGCTCAGTGTTCCCTAAGCACTGAGCCCCTCCACCATCACCCCCCCAAACACATCCCCCTTGTCCCCTGGTAACCGCCAACAGTTTCCATACAGTTGCCTATTCTAGGTAACTCATATAAATGGGATCCCCCAATATTTGTCCCTTGCACTTTTTGACTTTTTCACTTACAAAATGTTCTCAAGGTTCGAGGTGGTATAGCTTGCCGCAGGACTTTGTTTCCTTTTGTGGCTGGGCAATACTCCATTTTACCGATCCATTCATGTGTTGATGGGCGTTTAAGCAGTTTCCACCTTTTGGCTATTGTGAGTAGTGCTGCAGCCATGGGAGGCAAGTTCTGTGTACTTGTACCCTGGTGTATCTGCGCAGTTCCCTTCTGTCGTTATATATCTAGGAGTAGACCTGCTGGACCTGTGGGGATTCTGTGTTTAACTTTTTGAGGAACTGCCAAGCCTCAACGCTGGCTGTACCAGTTTACCTTCCCAGTTTATAGAGTCCCAGTTTCTCTGTTTCCTTGCTCTAACGTGTGTGTGCCTATGTGTGTGGTTTTTTAATGTTAGCCATTCTTGAGTATGAAATTTGA